TAAAGTACATGTCTGCTCTTTAAAGAAGGTTTGGAAATGCTGAAATGTGGGGAGAGGCGAAGCCCGCCAGCCCCCACCCCCACAGCTCTGCTAAAGGCCCGCCTTCCTGCCCCACGGCACGGCCCCTCCTGGCCTTTCCCACCCCAGCCCAGGAGAAGGGGCCCCTCATAGCCCTCAGACCCTGCCCTTTCCTGGCCCCAACCCTTTCTGCCAGGCACCCACTCCCACCAGATTGCAGGGAGACTGCGGGCAGAGCATGCACACTGGGACGGTGACCACTCCTCAGCCCCACCTGGGGGAGCGAGCACAGGGCCGGGAGGCAGGGGGCACTGGGGCAGGGCCTGCTTGGAGCAGCTGGGGAACACACGACATCTCCTGAGGACGATACCCGCAGCAACGATAATAACAGCAGCTAACGTTCATTGGTCATCTAGAACTTCCCAGACCCTTCTAAGCTCTTCCGCATGCTAACCCACTAGTCCGGACACAGCCCTTACAGGCGAGGACTGTTATGGCCCCATCTTACAAGTCAGACACCCGAGGCACAGAGAGGTCAATCAACTGGCCCAAGGCCACACAGCCATGTGCAGGGCAGCTGTTGGCTTCAGGTCCCTGATGTTACACTGTCACCAGCTGTGCTGCCCCCAGAGACAACTGTGTAATGAAAGGAGCTGGGTGAGGCCTTTACAGTTTATAAAATACCTCCCCCTGCCTCATTCTGTTCTCCAGCAAGCCCGGGAGGCACAGTCCATACAAGGGGTGAATGTTGTTAGCCCTGCTTGACAAGAAGAAAACAGCGGCACAGAGAGGTTAGGTGGTTTGCCCAAGGCCACACAGCTAGCAACAGGCATCCACCATCCACCCCGTGCCTTCTGCTCAGGAGCATGCCGTTCCCAGCCCCAGGCCCTCTCCTCGGGCTGCCTGAGGGGCTGCTCAGGGCACCCCGGACCTTCACGAATTCACTCAGTGTGCCCAGGCCACGTGGCCACGCTCACCTCCAGGGGCAGTGTTGCGTGGCCAGGGCCCAGTAGGGCTGAGGACGGGTCACTCCCTGTTGTGGTGGCCTCTCCCCACCCAGCCTGGGTATCCAGTCTCACCCCACTGTCCCCTGCCAGGCCTTCGTGATCTCCTTCACGTCCGACTTCATCCCGCGCCTGGTGTACCTCTACATGTACAGCCAGAATGGGACCATGCACGGCTTTGTCAACCACACCCTGTCCTCCTTCAACGTCAGCGACTTCCAGAATGGCACAGCCCCCAATGACCCCCTGGACCTGGGCTACGAGGTGCAGATCTGCAGGTACCACTCTTGGCTCCTCTTTGAAGAGTCACATGTATTGGGTTTCCTGGGTTGGAGCTGGATTCAAGTCGGGGGCAAGTGACAGAACAACTCAAACATGCTTTAAAAAAGATATTTTTTAAGATGACTGGGGGAAGGCATCTCCCCCAGGTTTACTAGTTCCTGTAATTAAGAAGTCCAGCATAGCTTCAGGCATGGCTGGATCCAGGAGCTACAGTTTGCCATCAGGCTCCACTCTGCCACTGCCTCTCCACTTTGCTTCCTCCTGTGTCAGCATCTTTTTCTGGCAGACAGAAAGGATCCCCAGAAACCCCTGCCTCACATTCTCTCTGCTCTGCAGCCCTTGGGGAAAGACAGTCTCTTTCCCAATAGTCAGCAAAAATCCTGGGACTGAGCATCCCTGGCCTGTCTCGGGTCAGATGGCCATCCCTGGACCAGTGGCTGTTGCCAAGGGCTGGAGGACTCTCACTGGCTCGGCCTGGGTCGTGTGCCGGAATGTGAGGTCGTGGTCAGAGAATGGGGTATCCTAAGGAAAATTAGGGTGTCATGACTCAAAGAAGGGGTGACGGATGCTGGGCAGACAAGAGCTGCAGGGCCGCATCAGCCTTCCCACCGCAGCGGCCGTGTCTGGCCAGCTGCTCGGGCCTGCAGGGAGCTCCCAGGAAAGACTGAGGCCAGGACAGGGGCGAGAGGCAGAGCCTGGCAGGGCCATCTGCTGTGCATCTTCCGTGTGCCAGCGGGGTTGGGGGCTGGGGACTTGGGCGTGGGTGGCATAACCCCCGCTGTCCGGGGTCCTCGGTGCAGGAGAGGAACAACGTGGGCAAAAGCAGAGAGGTGGGACCTGGAGCATTCGCGTTTGCGGGTGGCGCCTGCAGCCCATTCCTGCAAGCGTCGAGGGTGACATGAAGGAGCAGGCAGGGGCCTTGCGCCCTGGGGTCAGTAGGAGGAAGAGCGCCGTGCGATGGGCCACTGGGTTCTCATGGGCTGAGAACAGGGAAGCAAAGTCGGGACTCCGTGGGTCACATCGTGCTTAGCATTTGTTGACAGCCGGGATGATCTGGGACCCAGCCGAGATTCAGAACACAAAGACCACATATCCCAGAGCCCATGCAATAAAGCTCAGCCCTTTCTTCCCAGGGAGGCTGTTCACTTCAAGCCTATTTACTCTCGCTTTACACACAGTTCTACTGAGCTTACTCACATGTTCCCATAGTTCTTGACCAAGCAAGGGGCAGTAGAGAAGACAGCCAGGGTCCAGGGTGCTGACGGCAGCAGGAAGTGGCATGAGGAAGAAGAACACAGTGTCCTATGTGTGCTGTGTCGGTGCAGGGACAGCACCACCCTGGGACCCCATACAGCTGTGACAGAGAAGGACATGCTGGAGCCAGGGTTGACACCCACAAGGGCACATGGCAACACAAGACACTCAGCACAACACAATTTCCAGCTTTAAAAACCCTACCCACCATGCACTGCGACATATACGTATTTGGGTACCTCATCCCTAGGAACGGCCCACCACGATTTCCCCCAGCCCACCACATGGTCACCCTGGGGCGGTGGGGGACTGCAGATCCCCCTTCTAAGTGCTGGGCTGCAAAATCCTGACCTCCCGAGCTTCCAGGCCAGACCGTTCCCGTCAGACAGCACGACACCTTCTTTGAATTGTTTGAACTTTCCACAGGAAGAACACACTGAAGCTTTACATGTTTAACTCAAAATGAATTTTAGGCGAAGAATAATTAAGAAAAAAAGAAGGCAGCCCAGGTGCAGTGGCTCATGCCTATAATATTAGCACTTTGGGAGGCCAAGGCAGGAGGATCAATTGAGCCCAAGAGTTGGAGGCTGCAGTGAGCTATAATGACACCCCTGCACCCCAACCCGGGCAGCAGAGCAAGACCTTGTCTGTAAAAAAAAAAAAGAAGAAGATAGATAGATAAATATATGGTTCGTTTTACTAAAAATTCCCTCAACACTTTAAATGATGCTGTTCGTAGGGTGAGGTTAGCCTCGGTTGTCGGGAAGGACACAGTTGTCAGGCCCAGGCATTGGTTAGGGGAGCAGCTCTCACGTCGCACATGTTGGGGTCCCGCCCGCACAGAGAGGAGGCCAAGAGCACAGGGCAGAGACCCTGCTGCTAAGCGTCTTGTCGCTTTGAGCTCCGTGGAGGCAGAAGGCCGCGGGTCTCACCGCTCCCCTCCCCATACTCCGGTTCCAGCCAGGCCTCTGCCACCAACGCTTGGCCGTGATTTGTGCTGCAGGTACTTGAGCCCCCACCTCTGCCAGCTGCACCCCTGTCAAGCCACCTCCCAGAGGAACAGCTCCCAGCCTGGGCCAGCCCAGGCAGCAGGTGTGGCAGAGATGGCATCAGCAGAGCTGAGAGCTGTGGTCACTGCTGGCTACCCTTTATTCCTGTGCTAAAGCAAGCATTGTCACATTTAATCCTCACATCCTCCCCTAGAGAGGGTGTAATATCCTTCCTGCGGGAGCCATGTACCAGAGCTAGTCAAGGAAAAAAAAAGGAAGATCATCTTTGATAGAGGTCGGTATAGGTGGTGGGTGGGGGCATCTGGGCACAGTTACAGTGGGCTTTGAGGGATGCACACAAGTTTGCCAGGTGACCCAAACACATTTCCCAGCATCCCAGTGCAGTTGGCCTTGTATATAGAATAAGGGAAAGGGAAGAAGAGGTGCGTGCAGCTTTTGACACTGTGAGAACAGGGGCTGCTTGTTCCCATCAGAAAGCGGGTTATGCAACTTCTGACGGCTCAGCAGCTGGCACTGGAGCGGGTATTCCCAGCCCGATCCTATCTCAGGGGTTGGCAGCTTAGCACTAAACAGGCCCTCAGTCTCCAGCTCCCTCCAGAAATAAAGCTCTACAGGCGAGGGGCCCTATCTGTCATGTTCCCTCCTGAATCTTCACCCCTGGAATCGGGTCTGGCACGTAGTAGCTGCTCAGTAAATGCTTGCAACATGAGTGAGGGATTGCCCAGACTATGGCCTGGAGAGGCAAAGTGATTGCCCAGGGGACACATAGCAAGGTGGCGTTCACATGGGATGAGTACCAGGGTTGTGGGTCCAGGCCTGGGCTGTGCCTGCAGAACCAGGTCACTGGACCTCAGCTTCTAGCGACCAGCAGGGGCGCACCTGCAGCTGAGCACCTCGAAATCCTGCCCCTGGCACAGGCTTTTTCCGACCAGCTTTGGGGAGCTTTTCTAACCCAGGGTGGGCTGTCATCTCCATTAAAGCCAAGCCCCAGTGGATGTGTGTCATGGCCCAGATTTGGGGAGCAGTGGGGGCGGGGGGACCTAGGCGGAGACTCGCCCTGCCCCCGCAGACCCTGGGCATCTCTGTGTCTCTGTGATAAGAGGAAGGAGCCAGGAGAACTGAAGCACAGGTGGGCGCCTGTCCCTCCCGCTGGCCGGGTGGGTTCATAGATCACCATGTGGACAGGCGAGTCCCCTTAGAGTGGGGTCGTGATGGGCTTGTCTCTCCGAGCACATCAATAGGCCACATCTAAAATTGATAACTCAACATCCAAGGGTAGCTCCCATTTTTTGGAGGTAGGGAGGTGACACCAAGGAGTGGCAGCTGGGAGAGAGGACAGGCAGCCGGGCCAGGGCGGGGTGGGCAGGCCGGGTGGTGCCCGACAGGCTCCTGCCTGCACCCGTTGTGTGGTTAGCCTTGTACTTTGGTGAGTCTTTGATAGATTGTTTGGGTTACTTGGATCAAATAGTTCAGGTTTTTTCTACTTTAACGAGATGTTTTGATGTTTTTCTTCAATAATGTCATCCAAAAAGAGATAGAGTGGAGAGGTGGTTTTCGAACTATGTTCCATGGAACACATCCTGGTATTTTGTGGAGGATGGGGGGTTGGGTTGAGGTCCGGGGGGTTCAGGCTTAGGGAACCCCACCCCACTTCAACCAGGCCCTGCTCTCTTTGGAACCTATTAGAGTTTCAGGTGAGATTTCTTTTTGGGAAAAGGCCTCCACTGCTTTTAAAAGTTTGGGACCTCCTAGACCAGAGGGTCCCAGCACTCGATTCTGTGAGCCCACGGCTGGGCCGTGGGGGCACTTTCTGTATCTTACGCGCAGCTGCTTGGGCCCTCACAGCGTGTGGTGGGTCCCTGCCAGCCTGGCCTCCCCTGCTACGCTGCGGGCCAGGCCGTGTGAGCAGGCCGGGCTGTGTGAGCAGGCTGGGCGGGGGCTGCTGGCCCCGGGAGGCTACCGCCCCGGGAGGCTGCCTTCCTGGGGGAGCCGCAGAGCCAGGCGAGGCTCCACCCCGCTGCCCTCGAGCCGCCTGGCGCTGGCCAGCACCCGGGCGCTGCCGAAGACCCGCGCTCGACTCCCAGGCCACCTTCTGCAGGTACAAAGATTACCGAGAGCCCCCGTGGTCGGAACACAAGTACGACATCTCCAAGGACTTCTGGGCCGTCCTGGCAGCCCGGCTGGCGTTTGTCATCGTCTTCCAGGTGCGATGGGTCCCTCTAGTTTCCAGAAGGTTTGAGAATCGGGGCGCGTGGGAAGCACTCTGTGCCCACAGGCAGGCCTGGAGACCACACTGGCTGACCCCAGGCCCTGTGCGATGAGGACCCAAGAGAAGGTCATGAGCAAAGGAAGGCAAAGGGAGGGCCCGGGCGAGCGCTAGCGGAGGATTTGGGCTCTCTGGGGAGGGTGGGTTTAATTCCGTAGAAGTGTTTGTATCGAAATGGGTGTGCAGAAAGGGGAACCCGCCTCCGTCCCTGTCTTGGCGTCTCACTATCTCTGGGCAGGGGGCAGGACCAGACAGGAGGGCAGTGGGCTCTCGGATGATTCTGGAGCCCCGCCCCACCTGCCCAGTCTCGGGGACAGGCACTGGGGCCAACTCTAGAGGCCAGAGGGACTTCCAGGGGGCAGGACCCCAGACTGGGGGGCCTGCTGGCTGGCAGCTGAGGTCCCGGGGAGAGGGAGCACCCTGAGCCGCATGGGCTCTGCCAAGGTCCTGTCCACGTGTGTCCCTCTGGCCTCGAGTAAGTCCACGCAAGGAAGGCAGTGAGCCAAGAGCTCGGAATCTGGAATCCCCAGGACTGGGTTCAAGTCCCAGCTCTGTCGCCTATATCGTGTGGCCTCGGGCAGGTCCTTCCACTTCTCAGTTGCCTCTCGCCAATCAGCTTTTCCCAGCAATGGGCGCAGAAGGTGTCTGGGACCGGGTCCCCAGAAGCAGAGCCTGAGAGCTCAGCAACGAGGAGTGTTGGCCCGAGACAGCCTCAGCCCCGTCCCAAGGGGGCTCCGGAGCATGAAGGGCACCCAGACCTGGCCCACCTGGAGGCCAGACAGCCCCTTTTGTCTGCCCATATGGGTCAGTCATTGGCCAGGGGCTTCCAGGCTGGGAAGAGGGAGACGGGAGGGGGCAGAAGTCCCGTGAGCATCAGTGGCCAACCCTGGCCACAGCTCGGGGCTGGGAGAGATGGATGTGGGTGGACACCGGCATCGTCCACGGCAGGAGGCCACTAACCCAGCCAGGGGTCTCACCAATGCTCACTGGACAGAAGTTTAACAAACAACAAGATTTTGGTTTTTCCATAAAAATCAACTTATCTCGCATCCTATCCACCAGAAATTGCCCCACCGAGTTGGCAGATGTTCAGAATGACGCTGGGGTGTTTTGCAAACTGCAGAAGGGCCTGCCGAGTCGTCAGGGGCTATTGAAGTTTGCCCCATGTTGGTGCCATTTCTGTAATTTTAATTCTTTTCCTTAAAGCCTCAGTGCTTGTTGTTATATCTGGTGACACGTCACCCATTGGATAACTTAAGCCTCCTGGCCAAGGAATTCAGAATCATTCAGAGAATTTTCCCAATGACTGAGTTCAGATTTGTTCAAGAAAGTCGGCAAACGCTCCCCGAGGGCCTGCCAGGATGGTCCTGTGCCTCAATCGTACCTTCCGGGAAACTGCCGCCCGGGGAGGTCACGGCGCGGCTGAGGTCCCGGGGCTGGGAAGTGTCGGGGTGGGGCTCCCCCAGGGGAGAGGCCAGGCAGGGCTGTCAGGAGCATCCATCTGGGCACCCTCCTTCCCACCCTTCATGCTGACTCTGTTCCTTCCAGAACCTGGTCATGTTCATGAGCGACTTTGTGGACTGGGTCATCCCGGACATCCCCAAGGACATCAGCCAGCAGATCCACAAGGAGAAGGTGCTCATGGTGGAGCTGTTCATGCGGGAGGAGCAGGGCAAGCTGCAGCTGCTGGACACCTGGATGGAGAGGGAGCGCAAGAAGGACGAGCCGTGCAACAACCACAACGCCAGAGCCTGCCCGGACAGCCTCGGCAGTGGCCCGGCCCCCGACCACGCATACCACGGTGGCGTCCTGTAGCCGGGCATCCGACCAGCAGGCACCCGTTCCCCGGGCAGGCGGCTTCTGGCCCCCATCAGGGCCCAGTGGCTCCTATGTTTTCTGCAAACACGGAGGACCCCTTTCTGATAGGACATTTTTCTTTCTCCTTTATGTTTTTTTGTTCCCCTTTGTTTTTGCACAAAACCGTTATGCAGGGAACTTTTTTTGTATCTTTAGTATTCAAGGTGAATCAAAATGATGGCTGGTGATTGGGCAGTAATTACACGTAGCAAAGGCAGGCGCTTTGCAGAAACAATTCTTCGAAACCTTGAGTTTCTTTGCAGTGGAAGGTGGAAATCTTCCTTTTTAATCCTTCTGTTGCCTTAAGGGAAATGCAAAATGGTATTCCAGGGCATTGGGCAAAAGCGAGGCGATGTTTCAGGGAGGACCGAGAAACTGAGAAGGAATAACAGTGTTGACCTCGGTTCCCAAAGGGGTCACCTGCCTCTACTGATGACTTTTAATCATCTTTGCCTTTGGTAACTTCAGAAGCTGAGACACCCAGGTCAGAGAGAGAAGTTCCCCGTCCCTGTCCGCACGGGGTGTGTGGGAGTGTCCAGTTTATGCTTAGAGTACTAGACAGGTGCGGGCGTCCCTGATTAAGCAGGTGACAGCACCCTTGGCATGCATCCCCTGCCCATCACGCCAAGCTGACCTCAGAGTTGTTCATCTTCCTTGTGGGACAAAACCAGGTTGATGGGAAAATGGGCAGGGAGAGGTAACCTCGGAAGCATTTCTAAAGATGGCTTAAGGCTTTCAAGATGTCTTAAGGCTTCCGTGTGTGTGGGGGGGGTCCTTTGAAGCTTTAGAATATTTATTGGTATTTTTTTAAATCAGTTATTTGGTAGATTTGAGGATTTTTTTCTGTAGCTCAAAGGTGGAAGGAGCTTATTTTATTAGATAACCAAATATCATTGAGAGGAATTTAAAATACTGTTACTACCAAAGATTTTTATTAATAAAGGCTTCTATTTTGATAACACTTCTCTATATTTTTACTCACAGAAATGTCACTGTTGGACAATTATCATTTAAAAAGCTTGTAAAAACAAGTCTCATACGTGCTATGAGCAATCTAAATTTGCAGCAATTACACTAACCAATTATCTGAAATTTCTCAAGCACCAAGAGAAACATAAAAAGAAATGTTTCATCGAAGGCGGGAAGAACAACCATGAATATATTTGTTCTGAACGTATCTTGGTGTGACGTTGACATTCCCGTCACGCGCTGCCTGTGATCCAAGGCTGTGGGTGTCATGGGTTTTCGTTACCGGCTGAAATCATGCAGTCTGATGCTTCTGTTTTCTCTTGTACAGTAAGTAGTTTGAAATGGGGTTTTTGTATATAAATATTGTATTAAAATTAGGTGATTACCAAAAATCCTTTTATGGAAACCATTTTTTTAAAAGTGAATGTACACAGAGGACTGTGGCTGAACATTCATTTAAATAAATTTGAATACACGACAGTTTTCTCAATTGGATGCTGCCTGCGTGACCTTTGCCTTAGGAAACTCAGAGGCTGTCCCCAAAGTCCCATGGTTGACACTGCAAATTCAGAAATGACTGACAGGCATCCGTTGCCTTTGGTGCCAGACAAGAATTGTTCTAGATGTTTCTGGAACTTCATCTCTCTGTGAGTGTGCCAGTATATGCATGCATATGCATGTCGGTGTTGTGCATTCACGCATGTGCTTATTTGTATGTGCTTTGGTGCATCATGTGTGTATGCATTGCTCGTATGCACATACTTGTGTATATGCATATGCGCGTATGTGTGTTTTACATGTGTCTCTGTACATCACACGTGTGCATGCATTTGCATTTGCTTGTGTGTGCATATGCATGCAGGTGTTTGTGTGCACGTGTGCATGTGTTTGTGTTTGTATATGCCTATGTGCATATGCACGTGTGTACGTGGTGTGTGTGTGCCTGTGTTTGTGTGTTTGCATGGTTTGTGTTCACACAAGTGTGCATGTATGTTTGCCTTCACTTGTGTGCATATGTGCTTATGTGTTTGCATGTGCTGGTTTGTGTATGTGCACACGTGTGCTACGTATTCTTCCGTGTGCGTGTGTTCTAAGCAGCATCTTCCACAACCCCCAAATCCTGACCCCTGGCCTCCAACCCAACAGACTAGTATTCAGGATTTCACGGACCTAAAATTTCCCCAAAACCTTTTGGGGACCAATGTGGGGTTGCCAGTGTTTTCATTTGGGCAAGTGGGGTCATTTTTTTAAAACCACCATCTACGATCACTAAGACTGCATAAAAGAAAAGATATTTTTAACACCAAAATGTCAGCAAAACAGTACCGCCCTCTTAGCTGGGGACATTCTGGGTAGGACACTCTCACACTTCCTCGGACCTCCTGGGCCAGGGAGCGCCTCGCCCGAACCAGCCGCAGGCCTCGGGCGCCCCCCAGTGCCGGCTCGCTGCAGCAATGCCCTGGCCGCCTTGTGGTCAAGCAGCACTTCCCTGGTCCGGGAAGGAGGGCCCAGGGAGGACAGCACCCCAGGTGGCACCACAGAACTCCCTCCCCGCTACCCTCCTGCCTCCATGGGTCCGTCCGGAGCCCAGGAGGGACAGGGTGGGGATTAGCCTCTTGACCAAGATCAGAGAGCTCTTTAGCACCTAAGCCAAGTCTGGAACCCAGACCCCATAAATATTCATGGAACATTCGAGAAGCATTTGTTGAACTCCTACTACATGTCAGACACCAGGAAGAGAGCAGTGAACAAAATAGACACAAGCCCTTCCCTCAGGGATGACGTTCTCACAAAGGAAGTCAAACACTGAACCAGAAAATGAACCCCAGATCAGGTAACTTCAGAGGGAAAAGGGGTGCTGATAGAAAAACAGTGGGTGTGACCACGTTGGTCAGGGAAGCCCCTTGGGACCTGAGCAACAAGGAGCCAGAAACACAAAACAGAGTGGGTTGGGTGGGGGAACAGCGTGTGCAAAGGCCCTGGGGAAGCAGCAGGAGCTGGGGTAGGAAGGCACACGGCTGCATGAAGACTGAGCTTGGTGGTCAGCGCCATGGGCAGGGGCTGGACGGTGCTATCGAGGGCAGTGATGGGACCCGACTTACACGTGAGGTTGTGGCAGTCGTCAGGCGGAATTGCAGCAGAATGGGAAGCCAGAGAAGAGGATGTTGCAGAAATTCAGGCGAGTGACGATGGAGCTTAGACAAGGGTGTTAGTGGTGGGTGGAGAAAAACCCATATTGTCACAAAGACCTGGGACACGGCAAGGAAAGCACCCCCGCACCGCAAGTGCCGCTATTTTACAGATGGGCACAGGAGGCTCGGGGAGGGTCGGGACACTGCCACAGTCATTCAGCAGGCTGGCTACACAGCCGGCCTTCAGACTCGGACCTCTAGGCCCTGGCACCAGGAGTTTTCTACTACTGGTCCCTGCAGTGGTGTGGGAGGTGAAGGGGCCTCCGAGCACAGACCACCATGCACAGATGGCCCTAAGGCTGAGGCACTCATGCCAGCTGCACCACTGAGCCCTGCAGTCAACACTGGTGGCCAGGTGTGGGCTCTGCTGTTCTCTGAGGGTGGCAGCACCATTAGCATCCAGGCCAAGACTACCTCCGTTTGGTAGGTTCAGTGTTTGTTAATTTTTTTTAAGTTAATGTAGTATATAAAAACCAGGTAAATCCGTGTTTAAAGATCCATATTTGCATGTTCTCTTGCAGAATCCCAACGTCCAGTGCACAGCCCTGTTTGGCCGAGTCACATTCGCCCATCGGCTGGAGCCAGGCGGCACCTGCTCTGCTTTGTGGTGCACGTGCTCTCCCCCCACGGCCCAGCCCTACCCTCCCAAACAGCCTGCCCACTGGCCGTGGGGCAGCCGAGGCTGTGGGCCCTGGAGTCACTGGCTGTTCTAGACAAGCCTCAGGCCAAGGTCCCTGTACCCGGGTCTAGATCCACCTGTGGGATTCCCTAGGACAGAGGTTGGCCACAGTATGCATCTGGGACAGGGCTGTCCCCACCCCAAGGCTAGACTCAGCACCCCTGTCCCAGGGCCCCCACATCCCCAACCCCCCCACACTCATCTACAGGTCTCCAGGAGCCACTCGTGTGCCCCCTAAAATGACCCCCTACCATGGATGATATGCATCCTCACGCACCAGGCAACACTCACTTACCTGTGCATGTTTTGTAAGACTCACAGCAAAGGGCTTACACTGGCCAGAAAACAGGTCAGGAAGGAGCACCTGGCACAGTGCCAGGCACAGAGGAGGCCCCAGAGAGTGCTGAAGGAAAGAATAAGCAAGTGAGGGATGGATGGATGGATGGATGGATGGATAAGTGGATGGGTGGATGGAAGGATATTTGGATGGATAGATGGGTGGATGGATGGATGGCAAATGGACTGACAGCTGGGCCTTTCTGCCTTGAGCTGAGTGGACCTCAGGGTCAACCCAGCAGGGGCATCAGTGGAAGGGGTAGGAGGTTGTGGAAGGTAAGCTCGATGCCTCTGGCCGGCAGACGTGCCCACAGCAAACCATGCACCCGCTGCCCACTCACAGTCTCTGGCAGAAGAGCTTGTAGCAAAGATACAGCTTATTCCTAGAAACACTGACTTGGGGCCAGCCTGGGCAATTTCGCCTGGTTTCCTCAGATGGCCTGGTGTGTTCCGCCCCTGCCAGGAGCCTGCTGGGGACCCAGCCACAGGGCAGGCGCAGCACCCTTGCAGGCACTGAGGTCTGGTTTGCTCGCTGCAGAGCGATTCACTGTTTACTGCTGTTTCATCCCCTCCCCTTCCCCTGCCCTCCCCTGTCCCCTGCCCGTTCCTCTCCCTTTCCCCTTCCCCTCCTCCCTCCCTCTCTCTCACACACACACACACACACACACACACACACATTTTTATTTTTATTACGGTATAACAAACACAAAATTGCACCTGTCCTAAGTGCACAGTCAACTTCAACAAAAAAATACACACTCTTGTAGCCGGGACTCAGGAGCACATGCCACCATGCCTTGCAAGAGTCCTGCTGTCCCCAGCTGGCCACCCCAACCGCTGGCCTGACTTCGCGGAAAGCGCCGCACCTGGCCGCACCTGGCTTTCCGGCGGGTGGCTGCCGCCCTCTGCTGGCTTCCTGGGGAGCTGCACGCAGGGAAGGAAAAGCCCCACCTGGGCCTGCCCCCGGGGGGCGGCAAATGACCACAAACTCAGTGGCTTAAATGGACACAAATTTATTACCTTACGGTTCTCTAGGTCAGATGCCTGACACGGGTCTCAGTGGCCTAACAGCGAGGTGTCAGCAGGAAGGTTCTCCGCAGGGAGAGGCCATCGGTCGCCTCCCTGGGCCGGGCCTCCTTCAGGCCAGGCGGTCCCCTCCCACCTCTCTGGTTCTCTGATTAGAGGACTCAGGATTAGATCGGGTCCGCAGAGATGATCTCCCCTTCTCAAAGCACTTGATCTTCATCGCATCTGAAAAGCCTCTTTTGCCTTGTGAATGGACACGGTCACAGGCCCGGGGGCTGGGATGTGGACATCCTGGGGGCGGCGTCCTGTCTATACCCCGCCCTGCAGGAAGGAGTCTTTCTCTTTGGGAAAAAAGTGAACTACCCCCAAGGAAAGCCAAGGACTCTCACGTATTTGAGGAAAACCTTCACCATTAATGAAAAAGACCAAACAGAAATTAAAAAAGAAGAGAAAAAACGTGGAAGACACTGAGGCAATACAAGGAGAAAGAGAAAACAGAAGAATTCTGACCATCCTCCTCACAAATAAAAGATGAATTTAATTCCATGAAACCAGTACTAGATGTTTTTTCTTTCTTTTTTTAGGGCACAATGCTCAGTGAAAGAAAAGTACATGAACTGGACTTTGTCAAAATTAAGAACTTTTGCATATCACACATGAGAAATCAACAGAGTGAAAACGCAGCTCACAAAAAATGGGAGAAAATATTTATAAATCATGTATCCGATGGGGGATTAATATCCAGAATATATAAAAACTCCCACAACTCAGCAACAAAAGACACAAATCACCCAATTTAAAAATGGACGAAGGACTTGAACAGACATTTCTCCAGAGGAAAGGTGTAAGTGGCCAGTGTGCACGTGAAGAGATGCTCGACATCATTAGGCTTCAGGGGAAATGCAAATCAGAGCCACTGTCAGACCCCATCTCACACCCATCTGAATGGCTACTATTAAAAAAAAAGCAGAAAAAAATAAGAGTTGGCAAGGACGTGGAGAAATTGGAACCCTTGTGCATGGCTGGTAGGACCATAAAATGGTACAGCCACTGCGAAAATAGTTTGGAGGTTTCTCAAAAAATCAAACACAGAATTACCATATGATCCCACAAGTCCACCTCTGGGGATATACCTGAAAGAAGGGAAAGCAGGGACTCAGGTATCTGTACACCTACGTCCATAGCAGCCTCATTCACAGTAGCTAAAACATGGAGGCAACCCAGTGTCTGCCACTATACAAACGGATAAACAAAAATCCAGTCTAGCCACCTTTAGACGGTAGGAAATTCTCCCACCTGCCACAACATGGATGAACCTGTGAGGACATTATGCTGAATAAACAAGCCAGTCACAGAAAGACAAACACTGCATGATCCCACCTAAGTGAGGTCCCTCGAGTCATCAGATTCGCAGGCACGCAGGGCGGTGGCCAGGACTGGGGGAGGGGAAAACTAGGGGTGAGCATTTACTGGGTACGGTTTCAGTTTCAGTCTTGCAAGATGAAAAGTTCTGGAGGTGGATGGTGGTGACGGCTGTACGACAATGTGAAAGTACTCAGTGCCACTGAACTGTTCCTTAAAAATGGTTATAACGGTAAATGTTATCTTATTTTATTACCACAATAAAAGAAAAAAACAGGAACAATCAGAGGCCAGGGCAGGTCACGTTGGGGACAGAGGTCAGCCAGATGACCCTCGCCATCACTGCCATCGCCCTCCCTCCCAGGCTCAGCTCGCACACCAGGCCAGTTACGGGGCGCACATCTCAGAGTCCCAGCCCCTCTCCCGGCCGGCACTAGAGGGGTCACGGCTTCCAGCTGAAGGCGGCGGTGCCTGACTCCCGCCCAGCACACCAGAACGCTGTCCAGGAGGCATGGGGACTCCCAAGAGTGGAAGCCACCTCTTAAGGCTGCGACCTCTGAGCCTGGACACCATGTCCTCTCAAGGAGAATTTTCCAGAAGATGCAAGATGGAGGTTTCTCCCAGGGACCGGGAAGAGTCCCAGTAGCTGTGGTGGAGGTTTGGCTTGTAAGGCCCGGCAGAGGAGGGGCCTGATCCCCACCCCCGCCCCTGGGTCCACAATGAGGCGGGAGCTCACCGCTCAGCTCTGCCACCCCAGGGACAGGGGGCCTCAGGGTCATCAAGGATGAAGAGGAAGCTGAAGTGACTTTTTCCCCAATTCAGAAGCAAGGAGGAAATGACTTCTGCTGTGATTCAACGCAAAGTAGAGATTCCCCTCCTGTGTGCTCTGGGAGGTGGGGGTGGGGGCTCTGGAGGCACGAGAAGGGGCTTGAGGGCGCTCCAGGCTTCTTCAGCAGCCACTGGGCCACAGCATGCGTGGCTTCCAGGGGCAGAGTCCAGGGGCCTCCAGGCACAGTCCTTGGCACCAACGTGGTGCCACATGGGGGCTGGGGCCACTGCTCCACCCCTCCTTCACATCTACCCAGAGGGTCGGTCATTGGAGGGTGCCTGACTAGAACCCTATGCTCCCCTGGGGGGGGTCACTCAGGGAACCGGTACAGGGACACAAGAACCTGACTGGCCACCCTGTCACCATGAATAGACCCCATGAACATTGGGCATAAAAAATTAGCCAGGCATGATGGTGCACACCTGTAGTCCCAGCTACTCAGGAGGCTGAAGAGGGAGGATCGTTTGAGCCCAGGAGTTCAAGACTGCAGTGAGCTATGATCGTGCCACTGCACTCCAGCCTGAGACCCTGTTTCTAAAACAGAACAAAACAAACAAAAAGGCTGAAAAGACAAGGTATAGACTCAGAAGTCGTGGATCAGACATAGGTATAATCGCAGTAACAGAGGTGCAAATTAATCATCCCCTGCATAAAATCCATGCAGGAATATTTTTGAGCACCTATTAAGTGCCAGTCGGTGTTCAGGGTGCTTGTTCCCACCCTCAAAGAGCTTACCTTCTGGCAAGAAACAGACAAAAACTAGACAGTAAAGTAGGCAAATGACACAGTACACGATTAACTTTATTATACTACACGTCAGGTGTCATGTGCCAGTTACAAAAGAAAAGAACCACACGGGGGAAGGTGGATGGAGAATGTGGTTTCATGCTCCTTGGTTCATCTCCCACCTGCTGCGGGCTCCTTCTCAGCCTCCTGCAGTGGCTCCTCCACATCTCCCAGCCCCTTAAAGTTGGACACCCTGAGCTCACCCCTTGGTCATCTTTTCTGTCTGTCTTCTTCCATAGGTGACCTCATTCTATGGGTGCTTTAAATCCCGTCTATCTGCAGGTGACTCCCAAATTCACATCTCCCACCCGGATCTCTGGCCCAGCCCCCATCCCATGCATCTACTCGACATCTCACACTCACACGTCCCCAACCCACCCCTGCTCCTCCCCCAGACACAGCCACCCACACCTTCCCTGGTTCAGGCAAGGGACACTCCACAGACTTCAAACCTTACAAAGCACCCTCAATTCCTCTCACTTACGCACACCCCCGAGTCTAAAGAAGGCTGCACCCTTCTCGCCACCCACACTGCCGCCTGTCCTGTGGTCCGAGTACCCTACTTCTCATTGGGATTGTTGCAGTCTCCTTGCAGTCTTCTGGTTTCTAACCAGCAGCAGGAGTGATGCTTTAAAAGTGTAACTCAGTGGTCATAAACAGCATTATTCATAATAGCCAAAAAGTGGAAACAAAGGAAATGTCTTTCCAAGGATGAATGGCAAATTGTGGCATGTCCACGCAACGGGGTATCATTCCACCGTAAAAAGTAATGAAATACTCACACACGCTGCAACATGGATGAACAGCCAAAAACATGAGGAAGGATGAAACAGGCCAGACACAAAAAAGGACAAATATCATGTGGTTCCATGTATATAAAGTGTCCAAAAGAGGCAAATCCACAGAGACAGGAAGTAGATTAGTGGCTGGGGGGAGGTGGAAGGGGCGGCAGTAAATGCTATCGGGTACTGGGTTTCTTTTGGGGGTGATGAAAATGTTCTAAAATTAGATAGTGGTAAGGGTTGCACAACTTTGTGACAAAACTAAAAACCACTGAATTGTACACCTTCAAAGGGTGAACTGTATGGTATGTGCATTATATCTCAATTTTTACAAAAATTTTAAGGCAGCTCAGCTGGCGTCACCCTGTGCCCACACTGCAGTAAACCTGGGTACTTACGGGACTGCGAGGCCCTATTAGTCTGCGCCCCCTGAACCTCCTCCAACCACCACTGGTCTCGCTGCTCCTGGACCCTCGGCTCCCCCTGCCTCCACTCTTCTGTTCCCTCTGCCCCGCAGACTCTTCCCCCACACCCCCACACCTGGCCCCCCACCGCCAGCACCTCTGCAGCCTCCTCTGACCACACCCCTACGGCTCCCCACCCTCCGCTCCCAGCCCGGGTAGGGACTCCCTTTTCCCTGGCTCTCGTGAACTTATGGCATACTACGCGATTTTCCTGTTTGTAGCTTACGTACTTAGGAGGTAAACTGAGGACCAGCGGGGACCTTCCGTGTTTTGTTTACTAATTTGTCCCCAGCTCCTACTGCCTGGCACACAGTAGGAGCTCAATAAATGTTTTTTTTTGAGTAAATGACTATTGGTTTAAAAATGTTATTTGAATTACACTTTAAAATTACAATAAATCTCTGTTTTCTGCACACACAAAACGTCCCTGGGGGCACTAAGGAACACATTCCCGACGTCTGTTTGTAAATGTTAATGTTTAACCAACACCTGCTATTAGCATGCGATTTAATGGGATCTAGGAACCGCAGGCCCGCCACCGGCCCTGCACACAGTCAGGCTGCACCGCGCTTTGCAAAAGGGCAACCTCAGGAGAGGCCGGGCCGCCCTTGCAACACCAAGTAGGTTCTCGGGACCCACAAAGCCACCACGTTCCCACCCGGAAAAAAGGAGGGGATGCGCCGGGCGCAGGCGCAGAGGCCGCCCCAACTCGCAGCGCCGCAAGCCCGGGCGGAAACGGCTACGGCTGTGCTCGCGACGCATGCGCGGGTCCGGAGCTCTCGCGACACAAAGGGCAAGCAAGTTCCGCGGAGGATTTCCGGTGGTGGGCGCTAGGGTGCCGGACGAGAACTGGCGGAGCAGGAGACCGGAAGGCCGTGGGCCGGGGTGCGAGCGGTCCGGCTGGGCTAGGGGCGGCGAGCCGTGGGTGGTGGCGCGCGGGGGACCGGGTCGGAGCCCCATCCGCCCGCAGGCCGCCTCGCCGCCATGGACCCCTTCCTGGTGCTGCTGCACTCGGTGTCGGCCAGCCTGTCGACCGGCGAGCTGACCGACCTCAAGTTCCTGTGCCGCGAGCAGGTGGGCAAGAGGAAGCTGGAGCGCGTGCAGAGCGGCCTCGATCTCTTCTCCGTGCTGCTGGAGCAGAACGACCTGGAACCCCAGCGCACGGAGCTCCTGCGCAAGCTGCTCACCTCCCTGCGGCGCCACGACCTGCTACGGCGCCTGGACGACTTCGAGGCGGGGGCCGCGGGCGGGGCCGCACCCGGGGAGGAAGGTGGGCGCCGGGCCGGCGGGGCGGGCGAGGCGGGCGGGGGCCGGGGCCGAGGAGGCGGGAGCCGTTGGTCCAGCAGTAGTTGTTGCGAGCCTGCCGGACGCCCAACTTTTGCCTGGTTTTATTTGCGGGAATTTTCTCCGATCCGAACAACGCTGGGACGCGGGTGGCGTGCCCACTTTGTAGATGGGAGAGCCAAAATTCGGAAAAGTTAACTTACTCAAGGTTTCAGAGCCTGGACACCCACCCCCGAACCTCAGTATTTTCTCCACCACCCCACTGTTTCCAGTAAATTAGAAAGGTGACTGAAGAAAATGGTGTTGCAGGCCGGGGTCACCCCTGTAATCTTAACACTGGGAGGCCGAGGCCGGAAGACCGTTTGAGCCCAGGAGTTCGAGACCAGCCTGAGCAAGAGTGAGACCCCAGCTGTACAAAACTAGAAAGATTAGTCAGGCGCGGTGACTCACACTTGTAATTCTAGCACTCTGGGAGGCTGAGGCAGGAGAATCGCTTGAGCCCAGGAATTTGAGGTCAGTGATCTAGGATGACGTCACTGCACTCCAGCCGGGCGACCTAGTGAGGCTCTTTCTCAATAAGAAAAGGAAACTGTGCTGCTAACGTTCGGGCGGGGAAGGGGAAGAGTCAGAGAAGGTGGGGCAGAGGTTATGTGAGCCTGCTGCACTTATCATTTCTTTCTGTTTCAGAATATGCCTTTCACAGCTGTCTTGAGAATAATACCGTCTTTCAGTAACTCTTACCCAGGAGCTTACAGTGTACCACTTCCTGGTGTAAGCACTTGATTTATTTGATTTTCACAATGATCCTGCGAGTTATATAATGTTATTATCTATCATTGTTTGTTTTACAGAGGAGAGGACAGTGGCTTAGAGGTGTTAAGTGGCTTGATGAAATGCACAGCTGATAACAGCTAGGCTTGAACCGAGGCAGTGTGCATGTGGTGGTGGTAGCGGCGATACTGCCTCTCTGGTCAAGTTTATTCCGGAGTGTCTTCCTGCCCTCCTCTCAGTCACCCCCTTTGTCCACTGTCACCTGTGGCTTACATCTACTTCCAGAAATAAAAGTGAGACCTCACTACAGCAGGGTTTGTGAGCCCTATCCCCGTGTTCTCAGGGCCCAGGGGAAGGGGCTTGGGGAATGCTTCCGGGACACCCCTCACAGGCTTCAGGTTGTGGCCTCGAAACAGCCATTCAGTCACTGAACCAGACAGGGCATAAACATGTGACACCAGGGGTGGCACTCTATAAGGATTGGTGCCTGTTGGTGACAAGACAGACAGCACAGCTCTGCCTAAAAGCATTTAAGTGTAGATTTTAAAAATACATAAACATCACTGGACAAACAGAACAGAACATAGAAAAACTGGGCTTTTGGCTGGACTTGGTGGCTCATGCCTGTAACCCCAGCACTTTGGGAGGCCGAGGCAGGAGGATCCCTTGAGGCCAGGAATTTATGACCAGCCTGGGCAACATCGTGAGACCCCATCTCTACCAGAAGTTAAAATTAAAGAAGAAACAATTAGCCAGGCATGGTGGCACATACCTGTAGTCCCAGCTACTTGAGGGACTAAGGTGGAAGAATCACTTGAGCCCAGGAGTTTAAGGCTGCATTAAGCTGTGGTCTCTTCACTGCACTCCATCCCTGGGCAACAGAACAAGACCTCTGTTTCAAAAAGAAAAATTGGGTTTTCAAGGATATTTAATGACCAGAAAAACACTGATAAATTTAAAATGCAGTCTACAAAATATTTATCTTTTTAGATTTATATGTGTATGTCTGTGGGTGTTTGGTTACAGTTACGTAGTTCCAGTATGTTGGTGGCAGTACACCAAAAGGTTAACAGCAGGTAAGGGCAGGTTGATAATGGGTGAGTCTGTATTCTCCTTTACCAAAAGCAGTTTAGCACAGTGTTTAAGTTGAACTCTGGCACCGTACTTCAGGTTTCAGATCATGGCTCTGCCATTGTCTAGCTGAATGACCTTGGGAAGGTCATTTAACTTCTCTGTGTCTCAGTTTCCTCATCTGTACAGGGGGTCATAGTAACACCAGTGTCCAGCCCACAGGGTTGTCTGCAGTGTCTCAAGAATTTCCAGGAGTCCTCCAAGCAGCATCCTGTCCTGCCTCTCTCCTTTCCTCTCCGCACATTCCAGAAACAGCCTTTTACGGTCTCTAGTGCCAGCTCGCTGATCTCAGTAGTGACTTCATGTGAGGAGTGTGGGAGCCAGGGACCGAAGACCGGTGGTCAGTCAGGGCAGCTTTAAAAGTAAGGATCGGGGTGTGCACTAGTTTCCTGTGGCTGCCATAACAAATTACTACAAATTTGGTGGGTTAAAGCAACAGAAATTTATTCTCACAGCCTGGAAGCTAGAAATCGGAGAAAGCAAGGTATCGGGAGGGCCTCATTCCCTCTGGGTGATCTAGGGGAGAATTCTTCCGTGTCTTCCAGTCTGAGGTGGCTCCAGGCATTCCTTGGCCTGTGGCCGGGTCACTCCGGTGTCTGCCTCTGTCCTCGTATGGCCTTCTCTGAGTGTGCCTTGTAAGGATACGTGTCATTGGGTTTAGGGCCCCCCCAGGTAATCCAGGATCTCAAGATTTTCAAGTTCATTAACATCTGCAAAGACCCTTTTTCCAAATAAGTTAACAGTTCTAGAGATTTGAAGTGAATAGATCTTTGGGGGGGGAGGGGGAGTGCCATCTTTCAATAGGATAGGATGTGGGAGCAGCCCCATTTCCTTTCCTCTGACAACTCCCCAGCCCCTCCCTGAGTTTCCCCTGTCCTGAGCTCTAGCACTGAAGTCTTCAGTGGGCCGCAGCTCTCTGGGTGGTAATTTTGGGAGGGGCCTGGCTGGGGCAGGTTTGGAGGCCATTCTCTGACAGCCCCTCTCCCGGTGGCTGACTTTAGCCTCTACAGAGGACCTCGTGGGGGGCCCTTCTGTCTGCCAGTACTCGTAGCAGCACTGAGAAGCCCATGGGGGAGCTCTAGGGTTGCCTGTTTCCTAAAGAGCTCCCCAAACTTCCAGTCAGTGATTTTGTTCTTTCCCTCCTCAGACCTGAGTGCAGCGTTTGACATCATATGTGACAATGTGGGGAAGGACTGGAAAAGGCTGGCTCGTCAGCTTAAAGTCTCTGAGGCCAAGATGGATGGCATCGAGGAGAGATATCCCCGTAACCTGAGAGAACGGGTGAGGGAGTCCCTGAGAATCTGGAAGAATGTGGAGAAGGAGGAAGCCACGGTGGCCCGTCTGGTGGGGGCACTCAGGGCCTGCCAGATGAACCTGGTGGCCGACCTCGTAGAGGAGGCCCAAGGCCTCCAGAACCAGAGTGGGGCCATGTCCCCAATGTCATGGGACTCAGACACGTCTGCCTTGGAAGTACCCTGACGGGCTGCTGCTCTGCCGCAGTGGACCATGGGCATCCGCACGGGCTGGACTTTGGTTCTTTCCACGAGGGTAGCCAGGTGCCATCTGTGCCCAGCGCTGCGAAGACACAGCGGAGCCAGGGTGAGTGAGCCCCGCTCTCACAGAGCCACAGACTGGCTGCTTCTGAATTCAGGCTCTATCGATGCTTCCTCCATGCCAGGCAGGGCCCGGGCGCTGCCCAGATATTTCTGTTTATTCCTCACTGGCACTCTCAGAGCGAGATCCTGTTGTCTCCACTAAACAGCCTCCTGCAGGAGAAAGTTGGAAAGAGGATTTGAGGATCCCACCTCCTTGCCAGTTTTATTATCAGAAAGGTACTGATTTTGATACAAAATAGTAGCAAACTACAGAACCGCAGGAATCACGATACTCACAAGAACGTTAATAGAGCGTGAGTGTGAGCGCTCGGCAGACATCTCGGCTCCTTCACGGTCTGACCACTGGCCACACCAGGTCTCTAGACTTCTGGACCGGGACGTGTCTCACCCATCACGCGACCTGGTCCTCGTGTCCAGGTCTACCCTGCCGGCCCCAGAGGAAACGGGCAGAACATCCTTTCTGCCAACCATGAGGGCAGAGAAAACACAGTGGCTAAAGGCGTGGCACCTGGGCCAGAAGGTGCGGGCACAGACCCCAGCTCTCCTGCTGCTACTCGCAGACTTTGCTCCAGTTCCTCAACCTCTCTGAGCTGGTTTCCTCACCCGCAGAGTAACAGGGGTAACTGCTAATTTGTACAGATTCCTTCTACGCTTCTGAGGTAAGCCTATTAAAGCAAATGCCTTTACGATGGAAACCTCCGAATCACGAAGAATTTTCCATGCCTATTAATACACTCTGAAACCCCAACAGCTGATTTCAGTGTTGCTTGCAGCTTGTGGCTTCCGGCCTGTGAATGTGGCAGCTGGATTGCTTGACAGCTCACTGGCCACGAGGGCTCTGCTGGAGGTGGCCTTTGCCGCTTTTGGGATCTGCTTGCCCCCGAGAGGCCTCAAAATCAGAGGAAAGTGGCCATTCTTTGTTCCAGCTCCACGGCTGTGACCTTGGGAAAGTCTCGTGCCATGCTGAACCATCTTGACCTCGGTTGCTGAAATTGTAGCCAGGGTTGTGGGAGCACTGTCTCCACCAAGCTGTGGCCCTTGGCCGTGAGCTCCTCCACACCTTCGCCAGATAATTCTGGATGCCGGGCACCATGCTGCGAGCCAGGACCGTGGCAGTGAGTGAGACAGAAGGGGCCCTGCCTTGTCGGCCCCGAAAGCCTGCCCAGGAGCTGAGCCCGACCCTCTGTTACTCGCTGTACATCCCCAGCCTCGGTAGCGCCTGCCTTTTCAATTTTCAGCTCAGGGCTACTTCTGGAAGAAAAACATCATCCCTCACGGACTGAAGCGTGAGCAGCTTGGCTTTGGGGAGTAAGTTTTCTGGGAGGGAAAAAGAATCCCTGTCTCTTGAGCAGAGGCAGATGTCAGAGCTTCTACATTCCCATAAAAGTTTCTGGGATAAGCTGCTGTAACGTGGAAATGTCCTGCGTCTCCCTGCGTGCTTCTCACACCTGGCAGGAATCCCGCCCTGCATCACACCCGGTGTTCTGAAAGGGGTTTGGGGAATGTGACATTAGTGCACCTAAAACTTTCCATCGCTCGGAGCAAACGCTGGGCCAGGCTCAGTCCCCAGTCTGCCACTGGCTTAACTCCTGGCCTGTCCTGCAGTCCTGTGTTGGGCGAGGGCGTGGGTCTCCTGTCCTTGGCGCTGACGTTCCAGGATCTGCCCCCCCTGAGGGTGAGGGAGGAGGAGCTCGGGCTTCACAGTGGACCTGGGCCCTGCTCCCAGCCCCATCGAGCCCTGCCCGGGATGCGGCCTGGGGTGGGATTCCCAGCCTCAGTCTTCTCTGTGCCGGGCCGCACATGCTGTCCACCTCCAGGACTGGAGGGGGCTGGCCCAGCCCGGGCAGCAAAGCCACAGGGCATGGTGACGTGCGGCACACTTGCCCCACGAGGCGAATGTTGACGTGCGCAAGAGACTGCCCCAGGAAGGTGGGACTCGGCCAAGCAGAGACATCCCTTTGTTCAGCCAGGCCCATGAAGCAGCCACTGTGGCTGGGCACTGTGCCAGACGCTGGGGCTGCAGCTGAGCAAGACGGGCAGCTGTCCTCAGGGAGCACCGAATTTTCCCAACTTCGTGAAACAAAGGGGAAAAGGGCAGAACGTATACACAAGTGTCTGAAAAAGCATAAATGCTCATATAATCACTGACAGTGGAGAGATAATGATAAATATTTGATAATGGTGATGATTTTCTAGATGATAAGCTGTGTATACTTTATATTTTCCACATTTTCTGTAATGTGTTTTTTATTTTTTAAAAAAGACCCACCAGATGCTGTAATAGGCGCAGCCTGGACTGTTCGATGGGGAGTGTTCCCAGAGAGCAGGGAGCGTGTGGGCTCCAGTCCTGGCTCTAAAAGGGGCCACTGGGTAAAAATTACTTGTCAAAATCTGGGGCGACTCGTTTCTCAGGTGCCTTTAAAGCAAGCAGTGAGATTTCACCCAGAGCCCCAGGGACCGGTCCAGAGGTTACTCTGTTGCCTCTTTACGGTCTACTCAGAACCCCTGAGCTCAGCAGTAGCCTGTGGCCATGGGGCACCGCCCTCCTCCCCCCATCTGGACAGATCTACAGCGGCAGGACCCTTCCCGGGCACTGACTGGAACCTCTTCCCCACGGGGAAGGTATCTTCACAGCCTCTCCTGGGACCGATGGGACCCGTGTCCACTCAGCATCATGACCTTTGGGACAGGTTCAGTTACACCCCATCCTGAGTAGGAAACTGCTATAATTTTTGGACAAGGATTTCTTGTACCAACTTTACCAAAAAAAGAGCTATGTTCCTCTTTTTTTTTTTCAATCCCGTAAAATCTGTTTCTGAAAAAGGTGCGCATAAGTTACAGGATTTACTTGAAAACTGAAGAGCCACATCTTGCTCTCCTAGTCCTCTTCCCCTGAGAAAGAAAAGCCCGGATGTCTGCGCTTTGCAGGGAACTTCGGGCCTGTGCAGGGGAATTTGATCCAGCGCTTGCTGGGACAAAGGGTCAACGCCCTTGTCTTCAGGCTCCCAGATCTGCAGGTGCCTTGCCTCCGCCTAGCGTTACGCAGCGCCGCCCCCGGGACCGTGGGCCCCTCACGCTCTAGCTGCCTTATGCCCCCGGCACGCCTGAGACGGCTCCCTGCCACACCGTACCTGCTCCGTCCCAGGCTGTCACTGCCCTGTGTGCTTCTGTGTTCTGTCTTGCTCAGGCTCTGGGGCTCTGGTACTTCTCGAGACCATTCTGTCTGCCAGCCTTCCTCTGATCTCCCTCCTGAGCCTTGCCTAGCCCAGGTCCCTTCGCCCGCTGTGTCTCTGTCTGGCCCTGATCTTTCTCCTAGGCCTGCAGACCCACGTTGAAGACATAGAAGAAAATCCATTTCTTGCTTTTTGCAGCTTCTAGAAGCCACCTGCCTTTTAATTCACGGCCCTTCCCTCCATCTTCTAGCCTACACTGTAGCATCTTCCGATCTGTGACTGACTCTCCTGCCTGTCTCAGAAAGATTCTTGTAATTACACGGGGCCACCTGGCTAATCCAGATGGTCTCCCCATGTCAACATCCTTAAATCCACATTTGCCAAAACCCTTTGCCATGTGAAGGAAAGTGTTCAGAGGTCCTGGGATGAGGATGTGGGCATGGTCGGGGGCGGGCGAGGGTGCCTCCTCTGCCCGCCACACGCGTGGCACTCAGCATCTCCTGCACCTGTGCCCAGTTCCATGCTTGACACCACAGAGCCTCCTTCTTCTCACTGGTGCCCACTCTTCTCCCCCATGTTTACCTGAGACCTCAGGAGCATCCCTCCTGGCCCTGCTGCCACCGCGCTCCCGGCAGGGCCTGGCCCCTTCTCTCTGGACAGCCTCAGCGAGTGACTTCCTAACTCATCCTCCCTCTGGTGTTGCCTCATCTCCCCACCCCCTCTTCCATCCCACCCTGCCTGCAACGGGAAACAAACCGAATCACACTGTAGACCCTGACTCTGTTCTTGGAAACCATGAGCTCTGTACACATTTTTTAGTTTTATGTTCTTATTTCCAGATAACCATTCTGAGTCATCGTGCTGCCCACTTTCTAACCACACCATTCCTGTGTAAATTGTGTCTGGAACCAGACCATGACAAGGACAGCACGTGCTCGTGCCAAAACGACCAGTCACCCCTACATCTGCTGATCTGAAGGCAGGGCTTCTCTTACAGGGAACACTTGCAATTGAAAGCCGTTTTCCTCAAAGAAGCCCTTAGTTTTTTGTTGTTGTTTTTTTTCCTTAGTTTCTTGAGTCATTTACTAAGTTGAGACCCTGTGGCAAGAATCGTGTATACCAACCCTATTAATTGTCGCCGAGGAACAGAGGCCGATTCAACCTGTGAATGGGGTCCTCATCGAGGGAAAGCCAAGTGACACATGAACCAAGTTTTCATGGTGTGGCTTGAACAGAAAAAGAATGTCGTGGGCCATTTGAGTGACCCCACGCACAGGCCAGGCACGAGGCCTCCCAAACCTACCTGACAGCACTCCGTAGACGTGAGGCTACAATTTTATTTCAGCAAAACGTCATGTGTTATTTGATGGTTAAGCAGAATGAGCTGTTTGGAATGAAAAAGTGCCGAAGCTGGTTGGTGATAATGGTTGCACAGCGTTGCGGATGTACCTAATGCCACTGAGCTATGCATTTAAAATGATAAAGTCTGTGTCGTGTATATTTTGCCATAATTAAAAAATAAAAACAAAGTTTGAAATAGTTGGATTAAAGAAAGATATGAAGTAAATCATGGCACAGGAAGATCATGAATCTGGCTTGAATTAGAGACGTGAGAAATTTATGATAAAAGTGGAGTTTGAAATTAGAAAAAATTTGATAAATGGGGTTGAGACAGCTGGAAAGAGCTGCTGCGTTCCTACCTCACGCCATCTACCAAAATCATTCCAGATGGATCCAAGATGTGAGTGGGGCGGGGTGGGGGGAAGAAGCTGCAAACCTGGGAGGGTTTCCTTGAAGACAGCCGGGCGCGGTGGTTCACGCCTGTAATCCCAGCGCTCTGGGAGGCCGAGGCAGGAGCTCAGGACTTCGAGACCAGCCTGAGCAAGAGCGAGACCCCAAGTCTACTAACAACAGGAAAAAGTAGCTGGGCGCTGGGGCATGTGCCTGCAGTCCAGCCACTCAGGGCTGAGGCAGCAGGACTGCCGGAGCCCGGGAGTTGGAGACGGCCGGGAGCTATCATCGCTGCCCTCCAGCTGGGCAGCAGACCAAGATCTCATCTTTGAAAAAACAAAAAAGCACCAACAGCTCATTTCCCGGGCTGGCTGCACAGCCGTCCGGTTTCCAGATCAGCGCAGCAGAGGTCTCGTGGAGGCGTTGGTGGCCAGCCTCCGTGGCAGTGGCAGTGGCAGCTCGCTTGCCCTCCTGAGAAAGGCCAGCCGCCTACTGCCCCTTAACAACTTGCTCTTCTGCTTGAACAGCTTCAAGCCCTGTTCTGTTCTGTTTTGTAGCTAGACCCTGCCATGACTTTGGGTTTTGTCCTAAGAGCCAGGGGAAGGCCCCGAAGAGGTCCAGGCAAGAGATCAGAGTTGCATTTTTCAAGGCTCTGGCCGCAGGCCGGGCTGGGGGAGCGGGAGGGGGTCTGAGGGGCAGGGTAGGAGGCGACTGAGGGGGTGGGGCTGGGGGAGGCACGGCGCGGTGTGGGGTGGTGCGTGGCGAGGGAGAGGCAGCAGAGGGTGCGTTTGAGGGGTATTTGGGCTTTGGCATGAGTGTGGGGTGAGTGAAGGGTGGCATGGAGGAGGATGCCGGGTTCCAGAGAAGTGGCTGTGGACACAGGCTGTGTGTAGGGCGAGGACAGAGCCACGAAGGTGACGATCACGTTAAATGTGAGGGGCCCTCGAGGCGTCCACTGGGTGAGGAGGCGCCTCCGAGGGGCTGGAGAGTTCCACGGGTGTGCGTGTGAGCTGGCCAGGGAGAGCTGGGTGCGCAGGCCCTGGAGGGAGAGGACAGGGCCCGGAGGACGAGGCGAAGGAGCAGAGGCCTCAAGGCTGAGCAGTGACAGCTCAGGAGTGGAGCCCCGCCCACGCTCCCCCAGCACACATGCACCCTTGGTTTCAAAACACTTGTGGAAGGACCTCCTGGAAAGGTGTCCAGACTGCAGACACCCGGTCCCTCTTCCTGAGATTCGGGGCTGGTGGAGCTGGTACCCACTCCAGTATTGCCCCAGGCAGAAGGACTGTTTAGTGGTCAGCTAGCTGTTAAGTGCTACTAATTGTCCTCTGTCTGTCTGCTCTGTATCCATCTTGCCTTGCCAACCAAATTGCTCAGGACAAGCTGGGACCTTTGTAACTCAACTTTGATCTCAGATTGGAGTGAGCACTGGTGAAAAAGCAGGTTTTACAGCCCAGGGCCACAAGGGGTGGTCTGGACTCCCACAGAGTGAGACTCCAGGCCACCATCAAGCCTCCGGTTGACACCCCAGAGGACACAAGGGTGTGTTTTGGAGGCGGGTGGTCAGCTCGAGAGTGGACTGAGTGCCCCAGAATGCTGAGCCCCAGATTTAAAGCCTGACATGCTCCAGGCTGGCAGTGACGTTAGTGAGAGTCAAGTGATGGGTTTGGCTTTTTGGTTTTTAGATGAATCTGAGAGGCTCTGCCATCCAATTTGTAAAACAAACTGGCATGAGTCACCCTAGTGAAAGCTGGAGGGAGCTGCCAAGTCACAAGGTGGAGCTAGGACTTCAACCCAAGGCCATACAATCCCAGGACACCACAGGGCCTTTTCGGAGAAGAGGCCCTTTGCGTTGGTTTCGTGGGGTAAGCAGGAGTTCTCCGGGGCAAGCAGTCGAGGCCAGGAGGTGTGAAATTGAAGGACAACAAGTGGTTTGGTGAGGCTGGTTCCTGACAGATTCAGGAGAATGTTTTGGATTTTATCCTGTACACAAAAGGGAGCCAGCAAAATAGTTTAAGCAGGACAATGGCATGATTAAATGTGTGCCCCACTGAATTAGAGACTCAGTATTTGTTCGCTGGAAAATAAGAAAACAAAACAAGCAGATTCCCAAGATACTGCAGCTCTCCAGCTGAGTTTGGTTGAAGATGTGACAATGCATATCACCACCTGGGAAGAAAGTCGTGTGTTAGTTAAGGCTGCAGAGTAGCTTTGGTTTGGGTTATTTTTCCTCCCACAGTTCTTTGAGGGCGAGCATCTTGTTTTAGTCTCACAGGAACCTTGAACTCTACTTAAGGACTGTTCGTCCCATTTGGCAGGTAAGGAAATGCAGGTAGGGTCGGTGATTAGCAGGGTGGTCTGCGTGGGCAGTGGGAGAGAGGGTCTGGGTCTGGATCATCTGGACATTGGGCCAGACCGATGGAGCCAGCCTGCCCTGCAGAACCCTCTAGTCCCCAGACAGGTGCAACAGGCCCTGAGAGTGTCCCAGCTCGGGACGGGGCAAAGCCCATCCCAGTCCACAGTCCCTGGGAAGGCTGCCCAACCGCTGTCCTCGTCTCGGGGCAGGCAGTTACCGGGGAGCATGTGAGTGACAAACAGGTGACTTCACACAGCACAGGAGCAACCCCGAGAGCTAAAATAAGGCTTGTGTACACTCCAAAATACTCTGCTGAAAATAAACCTGACTGCTGGCTTCATGCCCAGGGCAGTCGGGGTGGGGCCAGCAAGCCACACTTCCCGTCCCCACACCCTTTTATTTTGGGAAAATCAAACCCACCCTCCCGACCGTGCAGGAGGGAGGTGTGGTGCTGTTCCATGGGACTCTTGCTGGAGAATGTCCGGGCACAGCAGGAGGTGACCCTTCCGTTCATTCATTCATTCATTCGCCCCAGGTGTGTATGGTCTCCTGCGTGTGCCAGGGCAGACAGCAGGGCGCAGGCGGACTCCGCTCTGCTCGAGTCTGCAGTCGGCCAGGCGAGAGCTCAGGGGTATTAACGGGTTTATTGTGCTGAGCCCTCAGCCCACTGTCACCCTAATCAGTCATTGTCCACCACTCTCTTATTTGATCTCACCTGTGGGCTTAGCTTAACAGTGCAGATTCCTCTCAGGAGCCCTGTGACCTGGGTGTAAATCACCTGGAGCAACTTAGGTGCCCAATAAGTGATCTCTGGTGACTGCGGATGCGTCATCCCTGGCTGGCTCTCCATAGCTGTCTCCCGCTTCCCTCCTGCCCCGGCGCAAGTTCCCTCTTGTATATGGCCCATAGGAGTCAACTCACAGGAGACAGCTGGAAAAACCAAGGATCTATCGGTCCACTTGAAGTGGCCAAGCACTGGGCAGAGAGCAGTCAGCGCGTGGGCACTGAGCCCAGCCCAGGCGAGCAGGGAGAGGCACCTGGGGCCAGCAGAGGATGCGACATGGGATCTGGGTATTCACGGGGGGCACTTCCATCGAGCCCCGTGAGCCCGTGGGGCCGTGCTCCCCATCTCCTCCTGCAGTGCTCAGTCTCCGTACTCAGTGTGGAGACTCGGAATCCCAGCAGCCTCCTCCAGATCCTGGCAGAGCCTTGCTGCCTGATTTCATCTCCCTTCCCACGTAGCAGTACTTCATGAAGAGTTTTTGCTGACGTTAAGCTGTGTGGACAGCAGGGGCCAGAGCGTGTATGTATTGGACGTGTTCCTGGGACCCATCTGGCCAGTGCTCGCGACCGCTGATTACTGACGATGTAACAGGCCGCAGTGGCAATAGGCCCTCACTTGGGATCCCGTCCGTGTCCTCCCTGTATTGAGATGAATTGTCCCCCCAAAATTCATGTCCACCTGGAACCTCAGAATGCAACCTTCTTCGGAAATAGAGTCTTTATAGATATAGTCGAGCTAAGACGAGGTCATATTGGAGTAGGCTGGGCCCTAATCCAACGACTGGTGTCCTTATAAGACGAGGGAAATTTGAACAGAGAGACGCATGCAGGGAGAAAGTCACGTGAAAATGGAGGCAGAGACTGGAGGGATGCGTCTGTAACCCAAGGAATGCCAGGGATTTCCAGCTGTGGTAGTGAGTGTGGCTGTCTTCCAAGCCACAGGTGCAAGAGCTGCCAAGGGCGGCCGCCAGCCCTACGTCCAACCCCAGCTTTGCCTTAGCGGGGAGCTCCCCATAATTTTGCCACTATCTTTAGCAATCACCCTCATTTCAAAGATGTGGAAACCGAGGCCCTGAGAAAGAAGTAGAGAGTGGGACTGACATTTAGGAGCTCCATGCAGTGTGTCTTTACTGCTCTCGGCATCCTACAAAGAGAAGGCAGCATCCCATTCGCAGACGTAAAGACTGAGGCTCAGAGCATCAAGGACTTTTGCTCTGGGTCACACAGATATTTAGTGGCAAAACCAGAACCAGGAGGTGGGACTCCTAATGCTGAGTCACTACACCCTCCCTGCCTTCCTGGAGAAGGATGGAGGGGCTGGGACACCCCCAACCCCTACAGCAGCTGTGGTGGGGGTTGAAGCCAGGCCCTGCACCCGGATAATTGGCATCAGCATTCAGAGGAGGAGGAGGGGGCAGCGGCCCTGGTACAGCCAGGGCTCTGCTGGGCACTGCCATGGCCCACCAGGCCCCCTGCGTGGGCAGGATGGCGTGTTCCTTCCATGAGCCAGGAGGTGATTCATGAGCACTTGGTAAGGATGAGCAGGTAGAACGAGGCCCAGAAGTCTCGGCTGAGGCTGCAAGAGCGTGTTTGGCTTGTTTCTCCGTCCCACTCTGGGGCATCGGCTTCCCAGGGTCTCGCCCGGGCTTCCTGCTTCCCG